TGAAGACTACTGTTCTAAGAAAGTATCAAAAGATATACTACATCATCTTACCTGGAAAAGCAGCAGATCTTTTAAAAAATCTAACACCTCGGGGCGCCTGGGTGGCTCAGTCGGTTAAGCATCTGACTTTGGCTCAGGTCATGATCTCGCAGTTTGTGAGCTCGTGTCCCACATCGGGTGAACCCTGCTTCTCTCCCTTTCCCTCTCTCTCTCCCCCTCGTTCACTGTGCCCTCTCTCTCTCTGAACCCCCCCACCCCCCAAAAAACCCCCAATACCTCAAAGAGAAAACAAAACCAGAGAAGTTAATATTAAAAAATGTGAAACCAGTTTATCCATTTGACAAATGAGTGCTACTATGGTTTATTAGTACTTACATGTAACATATATTTTGAAAATTAAGAAACAAATAGGTGAGCAGCTTTTTTAGGGAACTTGTGACCATTCTGTCTGCTTCACAGGTTCCAGGGGTCAGATGGGTTCCAAACTGGGCGGCACTTTACTCCTCCAGCTCCCTAGATTTCCACTCACGGCCCTCCAGCAATCAGTAAATAGTACAACTTGGGAGAATTTCAAAATACTGCTCTTTGGCCATAAAGAAATTCTCCCAATTGAAATTATAATTTGATAGGTTTAATTACTTTATAAAAGCTTCAAGTGAGATCATGAGGCTAACCAGATACTGATTTATTATACTAAAATATAGGCACGTTTTCCTTTAAATATTTGAGATCCTATCTACAGTGCCTCCGTTATATTCATTCAGATTATTCTTATATTCTAAAACAATGAAGCCTCTAAACTGGTGGAATGTTGCCAGAGGATTTCAACAGAGTCTGAAGGCAACATAACCAAAAGGCATAGTTTAAATTAGCTTAGGGAATGAATGGGCTCCTTATCAGGGCAGCTGAAGGCTGTACATAATTAACAGCCTCTGTCAACATTCACAGGGCCCCATATAGAACAGGCAGGCCCTACAGCCCCACCGAGCAGCAACCTCCAGCTTCTGGCACCTTAAAATCCACAAGACCTCAACAAAAAGACAGCCCCAACCCCTCACTAGAAGGATACATTTTAGTTACACTAGCAGGACCACAGAGCAACTGCTAATTAACGTTAATTACCTGGAATGATTGTGTTCACATTAGCATTGAGACTTCCAATTAGCTAGCTGTCCACAAAAATATAAAACACTATTTATGGAGACAAGTTTGTATTTGTAATTACTGATTTTATTTTATTTTTTAAAATTTTATTTATTTTGAGAGAGAGAGAGAGAGAGAGAGAGAGAGAGAGCATGGGAGGGGCAGAGAGACAGAGAGAGCATCCCAAGCAGGCTCTGCACTGTCAGCACAGAGCCCGACTCGGGGCTCGAACCCACAAACCATGAGATCATGACCCGAGCCGAAATCAAGAGTCAGTCACTTAACCGACTGTGCCACCCAGTAAAATCAGTAATTACCCCTGTAATTACTAATTTTAAAGTCTTTCTTGTGTTATTATTTATGAAGGGTATGAGAATGACCTATTAACCTTCCTTTTTTTATGACGCATCGTCCATTTAATTCAGCTTGGATATTTCTGTATCAAGAGTATTAAATTCATTCTATGGCAATTCTTAGTTGTTTTCGTATATATTGATCCCATTTCCCTCACGAACATGTACAAAAACCGAACCAAACCAATCCAGAGGAAGTTTCATTAAATAAATTTATTTGTTAAAATAATTTAACTCCAAATACAACTGTTGAATTTGCATTGAGTTATAACTACAATCCATGTTTTAATCGAAATGTCAAGGTTTAACAACTGACATTGTTACAAAACAATAAACTGTTGTTCAATTTTAAATGGTCAGTTGTATTAGAGCTCAACAATGAACTGTGAACTATATCTCTGGGAAACCCCAAATCAATAATGATAAGTCTGTTTCCAAAACCCACTGCGGTCATTCTTGAAACCCTGATCAAGATTTAATAGATGCACAATGACACGTTAATTAAAAAAAAAAAAAAAAAAAAAAAAAAAAAAAAAAAAAAAAAAGACCCCCATAATCTCAAACGTTTGATTGGCCAAGGAGACAGGTAAAGCTTACCAGCGTGAACACAAGGCTAGTGAGAAGAACAACTAAAAACCAAAACAAACCAGCGGAAAACCAACAGCAACAAACAAAATAAGCACTTTCACATTCAGACATACACGGACAACATTCCCATCGGAAAACTCCTGAAAACACACAGCAGACATCCTTAGGCAACATTTCTTCACAAAGAAAAGCATAAAATATCAGTAGTTTTTCCACAGAAGAGTGACGGCAATTCTAGCACTTAGTCAAAAATTCAGTTCTAGTTCTACGAACCAAAGGAAAAGATCACGGAGCACCTTTCGATAGTTTAAGGAAGATTTTACGTAACGCTTTTGATCCGATGCTGGCGTGTATGTTGTAAATTGAACAAAATGAAAGGCATCCGTTACCATCACTATCACAGCTTGAAAAAGAACCCCCCCCCCCAAAAGCTGCAACATAAAAGGGGGGAAAAAAAGAACTTAAAAAACGCTGCCTGTGTTGAAAGTAAAACAACACAAAAGGAAAACAAAGGAAAAAGCTTATCACAAATAGCTAAAGAAAAAGTGGGTCTTTGGATCAAACCATAACATTTTTAAGGCATGTTAGAAAAACTTTCACTTATCTAGGTGCTAGTCTGATCAGGGCATAAAATAAATAGCGACACAAGGTCACCAACTTTTCTCTGTAGCCACGATGATTTGTGTGCCAACAAATTTAATCCTCCCGTTCTTAAGCTTGTTATTAACATCTCAACAAACACATTCATTCAAACCGAGTTATATTCATACCAGATGAAATACCAACAGTTAAGAGCACAAGAGGGTTCCCATGTTTCTGGATATCTTTGATGCTTTGTCACTAAATATGAAGGGCTGTGTGCAGACGCTGATCAGGCAGCCAAATCAGTTCTTATCAACATCTTTACAGTGAAAACCCACCTTACTGTCTGACGCAAACACGGGGGACGAAAATCCGGATTTTTAGTTAATCTTTCCACCTTACATTTTGCCATACTTTTCATATTTGACTTCTTTTTCTTGTCTGCATGGCAATCCATAGTGTAAAACTGTAGTCTTTACAGATGTTTTTAATATGTGCTCTTAGTTGTCTGTTAAATATGGAATTCTAAAAAAACAATCATTCTGAGAAGTTAGACGCTTCAAGTCTCAACCGATTCACTAACAAATACTTCTATTTTTCAGTAGATAAATCGTACTTCTTGAATCTCTGGTTTCTCTAAAGGTTTGAGTCAAATCAACTGTTACATACTGAAATCTGTTTCAGTAAAATGGGTTAGAACTTTCCATCCTGTAAACAAGGTGCTTCACAATTGGGGGTTATAAAAGAAACAAAAACAAAAACAAAAACCGATATTGAAGAATGCAAATGTTCACAATTCAAAGATTTTTAACAATCACAGCCTGGTTGGATCCACATATCTCTGTTTTCTCACCTATGAAAAGTACTATCCACCTTTCTGCTATTCGCTAAGCTTAATGCCAGCTCACTAAACACTTCGGTGTTACCAAGGATTTCAGAAAGTGTCAAAAACACGCAAATAATTTAAAAAAATGTTTTTCTACACTATATTCTGCAGTCGGGATGCTCAGTGTAGGCAATGATCTCTGACTTGTGCCAAATTCTCAGGAACAATAAACACACATGCACACGCAAACACACACTCCTCTCTCAGGTACCCACAGAAGACCAGCGGTTACTTGCCCAAGTGTGTGAAAGCAACAAAGTGTGGGGCAGGATGCAGATCGCAGGCTCAGCGCTATTGCAGTTCTGAAGGCCAAATCTATCTCCAGAGGATTCGCTCAGGATACTCTCTTCAGCATTTACAGCTCTGAAGTTTGCTCAAAACCCTTCTGCACTTGATTGTAAAACCTACGAATAGGTTTTTCCTGTGCCACTAGTCATGCAAATGATAAATACTTCACGGCTATGAAAACCCAAAATGTCAGAGCTTGAGCACCTTTTCAAAAGAAAATATTCTCTCTAGCTTTATTTGCCACTTCAGTAATCAGGGCAAAATTGTTATAAGAAAATCTTTATATAATTCCCCAGGAAAATTAAAGATAAAAGGGTTGGTGTTTTTTTGTTTTTGGTTTTGGTTTTTTTTGTCCCTTACCTTCCACTCTATAATTTATGTTCTACTTTTAAGCCCCAATTCACATGGTTATTCAATTTTTAGATGCCTGCAATAAAGCTCTGCTATAGCAAACGTGATTTCGAAAGCAGGTTAGCCAAGAATCACACCACAACCAGAGCCCTTAAAGGCAAGAAGGTCTGCTGCTTTAACGAACGTAAAAAATGCAAGATGTGTGTACTGTCCTGCGAGGTTTCTGCAAACGGGAACACGTGGATGCAACATGGCTTCATTTTCCTTACACGATGGTACTAGTTAATCTACCAGAACGCTTCTTGTGAGTAAGGCGAGGCAATCTTCCCATCACATCGTTTTCTTCTTGTCAATTAAGACCATGCCCGCTTTGTTAACAGAGGGTGGGCTTGGGGGTTGAATTTGGATCAAACCCTTGTGAGAGCCTCCATTTTGGGTGGCAAAGCAGGTGATTTAACACATTCGAAAGCCAGATCGTATTCGTACACAACCTGTTCTGATTTTTTTTGCTCTAGCAAGGATCGATGCACGAGTTAGTTCTGCGTCACACGTTAGGATAACATCTACAGTTAAGCATCAATTTTGAGGAACAGAAATGTGTCAGCTGAGGAAAGAATCTCTCCCTGTAATGCCGTTGGCAGGTCAGCTGTTACTGACTTGACGGAATACATTGGTTAGAAGCACTATCTCAAGTCCTGAAATTTCAGTACTCTCCATAGGAAAATATTTCTCCTTTACTTATTTTTTTTTTTTTTCAAAGAAGACAAAATATCTTAACCGCAAGTGGTCATAGGGATTCTTCCGGTTTCTCTCTCATGATTATTTTGAATTTATACAATAGTTGCTTCTGTCAACTCGGTGACAATGCCACCACAGCTTCCGAAGGAGATCACCCTGTAGACTGGCTATGCCTTCAGGTTGCAGGTGCGTCCAGGAGGCCGAGGACAACGGTGAAGACTGTAGCTACTGACCCCAAGTGGTACTCAGAGACCTCAACTGACAATCACTGCTCGACGCCGAACGAGGGTGGCCGTTGCACTGCAGAGTCACCCCCCACACCCTGCGGACTCCGCAGTCGTGTGGACGAGGTGCGCCCTCGCCTGCGGTAGCGGGCAAGGCCCGACCGGGGCGGCCGCATCGGACGCTATTGGATGTTACAGGCGGAACAGCACGGGTCGTCTTTGTCAGGCTGCGCGGCGTAGTTCATCTGCCTCACGATTTCGGCAAAGAGTTCGTCCACCATCGTTTTGCTCTTCGCAGAAGTCTCCATAAAGGGGCAGCCCCACTCTTCGGCGAGGGCCCTGCCTTCGTTGGATGACACCTCCCTCTCACTTTCCAGGTCCACTTTGTTCCCAACCAAGATGACTGGCACTTTCTCATACCTACAAGAGAGCAAACGAGACACAGACGTTATAAAAGTTGGCACTCAGAGGCTAAAACGTATCTTCTCTCTTTTCATTCTATTCTACCACAAACATTCTCTTTAGTTGCCCGAAACGTCATTTGCCTCACTTGGCTTGACATCTCCCTGAGGGCATTCAGGTGCTGCCCTCACAGTGGATAGTAAATGGGGTTTTGGAAACGAGGCTTTACATGAATCAATTATACAGCTTCGAAAATCAATTTACCTTTCCAGATATATTTGGAAAATTAGTCTCAGAATCTCAGAATAAATCCTGTTAGGTGGCTTAATTTAAACTTTTTCCATTCTAAGAGATGCTTACTCAAAATTTCGGTTGATGAAGTAATAGCTCTACTGAGCAAGCAAACGATTTATAATTGTCAGCATTTTACTCCGCTCCATAAATATACAAAACTGGTCATGTTGGAATAGTTCCTAAGACAAAAGACAGTAGAAATCATTAGGATGGAAACTATCAAATATGACTACATTCTATCCCTTTGATAAAACTGTTCCAGATTAGCCAGTTGAAAGACATCATGGTTCTTTTCAGCCTGCAAGGAGTAAACATTTCAGTCATTAGCTTTATTTGATGCCGTCCCTTCCTTCCTAACCAGCACAAGTGTGCCACAGGCCGAATGTTTGTGCCCCTTCTTCCCAGTGTTGAAGCCTAAGCCCCACTGTGATTGTATTTAAGAGTTTGGGGCTTTGGGGCAGTGATTTCATCATGGATGGGATTGGTGCCCTTTTATATGGAAAAGAGATAGGGGAGTGCTCCCTTGCCCCAACCCTATGTGAGGGCTCAGCAAAAAGATGAGTCCAAGAACGAGGGAAGCGGGCCCTCACCACACACAGAAGCTGGCAGAGGCTTGATCTTGGACTTCCTGCCTCCAAACTGTTGTTTAAGCCCCACATTCTGAGGTTTTTTGTTACAGCAGCCAGACAAAGATAAGGCGTCTGTGAGTTATGACATCTGGAAAAAAGCTAGACTAATAAGGATAACAAAACGGTATGAAAAGAACAAAGTAAAAAGGCCCTAAATCATTTTGATACCTAAAGCTGATCGATTCTCTTTATGATTGTTACTCACAGTGTAAAAATACATGGTGCTACTCTGCATAGTTATTTACTAATATTGTTTATGTTTGTTCTAAGAAATGTTGCTAATATATTTTCCTAAGGCTATCATTTTTACTTTAAACATCATTTATTTATTTTCTAATTTTTTTAAGTTTATGTATCTTTTAGAGAGAGAGCAAGAGAGCACGAGCAGGGAAGAGGCAGAGAGCCAGGAAGAGAGAGAATCCCAAGCAGGCTCCACGCTGTTAGTGCACAGCCAGACAGGGGCTTGATCTCATGAACCATGAGATCACGACCTGAGCCAAAATCAAGATCAGATGCTTAATCACATGAGCTACCCAAGTGCCCCAAATATCAGTTTAAAAGCTTCTCGTGATTTTAGTATAAATCAGTGTGTCTCTCTGTGTGTGTGTGTGTGTGTATGTGTGTACCTTCCCCTAAGCAGAATGCATCTCTAATCTATAAAGGAAGTAAACCACACCATTGCACATAAGGATAACAAATGTGACAGGACGCGGCCACTCCATCAGAAGAGAAAACTAACCACATAGGACTTCACTGAGGCGGGGTTCGTACAGAGTTTTTATCATTCAGGAAACTGAGTGCTGGGCAGGTGGTTAATATGAGTGAGAATCCTTCCACGGTCTCCTCACTCGGTGAAATTGGTTCTCTCCCCTCACTCACGCTTGTAAAGCAAACTATATTCCCACCAGAGTCTCACTTCTGTGTCTGGCACTCGGTCAAACTGAGAACTGTTTCAACAAGAGGGCTCCCAGCAGTGCGCCACTTAGCAATCTGGAACATAAAAACAACTTAAAAATGTGTGGGGACAACCGTATCAAAGGTAAATCTAGAACTTGGGTATTCTTTTGCAGGAAATGGATTTGGACAAACTCCAATGTGTATCAGTGGCTTTATCTGAATTTACTGTGGCCCAGCTGGGCCTTGTGCTTTGTGGCCTCAGATCCTACTGCGAGCTCTGGCCGTACGACACGCGGGTTTTTCACACCTTCTAGGACTCTTCCCTACAAACAATTATGTGTGCCCGGTGGCCTCTGCAAGGACAAGTGGCAGCAAGGTGAAGCTGCATTACAAACGCTGCGGACCAGCTGCTTTGCATATGAGCTCTCTCAGCCTTCCGACCTTATTTTACTCGCAAGCTTTTAACTGCATTTTGGTTTTCCTTATGAGAGTATATACACCGCAGCGTTACTTTAAATCACCTTGTTTGGCAGGGAAAGAACATAAACATGAATACAATCCCGAAAAATGTATTGGTTGAATTTAATCGGGTTAAAAATTAATTTCAATCTCTGTGGACCATCCTTAACAGGGAAAGTGATGACATCACTTTCTCTTATTAGTTAAGCAGTAAGTGTTTTAGAGACTATGTTTTTAGTTTAAATAAAGTATGAAATCATGTTTTATAGGTAAAGAAATAGTTCTTACACTTCTAACTAAACGCTACAGCTGTGTGGATTTTCAAAACTTGCAAACATATCAAATCATTAGCAGTTGTATCACACGCCGTTTGAATCAAGAATCTGAATAAATGTTGCCAACGGATTCTCAAAAGGGCAACAGGAACACTGCAAACATAAGTCCGTATGTAACAGCATTTAGTTAACTGTCCAGTGAAGGTGACAGTTTAGTAGCAGAGAGCCTGGCCATTATATCACTATCTGAATGGTCAGTGGTCTTCTCTAAGACCGAGATGCTAAAACGGCTGGAGCAATTCAGACTGATGTCCTCAGAAGACTTTCAAAGGTCTTCGGGAAAAAGAAGTATTCTCTACATCTCGGAATAGCAGACGGTAAGAAATTGTGTCTCTTGCTGTTAACATTAATACATGACACCGCAGAAAAGATTCGAAACTGGGATTTGGAGGCTCGGCTTCCAGCCTGGCCACTGAGGCTGCAAGACTGAGCAAACCTTGCACCGTATTCACCTGTAGTCACTTCCTTGTCGGTAAAAAGGGTGTCAGGGGATCTGTTCCCACTGAACGCACAGGTTGCTGTAAAGCTCACAGGATGCGCTAGAAAGCCCCGAGTGCCGGGGAAACGCGGGGCAGTGCTTCTTTCCTGTCCCGCCTGCCCGCTGCTGCGAGGACACAGCTTCTTAAAGTGTCAGAAGGGAGGTGAGGAGCTCCTGAGGACAGACAGGCAGGAGAGACTGACCCCGAGTCAAGGAACAAAGCAGCCACCTGCCGCCAGCCTTCGCCTTCTCCAGTCCCCTGGGCTGAGCAGGAGGGGAAGAGGAGCAAGCAGAGCAGGAAAGGCTTCTTTCTCCAGATACAGCTACCTGTGCGGAAGGGGAGGCGAGGCTTTGGGTTGGGTTGACGGAACGGGTCCTGTGTGGAGGGGGTAAGATTTGGGGAAACCAGGATCCTCCTCAAGGCGGGCGGGTGAGAAGGCAAAGGGAAAAAAGCAAAAAAGCCCTGTGTTGATGCAACAGAGGGGGAGCGTGGGGAAACCCTGCTCCCTGCTCCAGCAAGGGTGTGCTGAAAAACCAACAAAGCCAGACCAGGACTCCGGTCCCTGAACTGCCTCTAGCTAGTTCTGTGAATTTAGCAAATTAACTTCATCTCTTGGTTCCCAGTTTCTTGAACTATAAAGTGAGCTGGACTAGGTTTCCAAGGCGCGCTTCAGCTTCGAAGCTAAAAATCAGGACCTAGTGGGCCATTCCCACAATCAGTACGTATCATTGACCAAGTGATGGCTGACAGCTTAGCACTCTTCTTGGCACAACACCCAACAGGATGATCTTTTTTTTTTTTTAAGTGTTTAGTTTTGAGAGAGAGAGAGAGAGAGGAGACAGAGAATGGGGGAGGTGCAGAGAGAGGGAGACACAGCATCTGAAGCAGGCTCCAGGCTCTGAGCTGTTAGCACAGAGCCCGATGTGGGACTCGAACCCACGAACCGTGAGATCATGACCTGAGCTGAAGTCAAGAGTCAGACACTTAACCGACTCAGCCACCCAGGCGCCCCTCCTTGGTATTTCTTTTAAGAACGTGAGCAGGGTTATGGTCATGCAGCTCAAATAATCTTATATTTGTTTATAGTCTGCAAACAGTTGTTTTATCGACATGATTTTTACAGTGTTTATTGTATTCATGAGCATGATTACATGACGTATTGATGAATAAAACTAGCTCTGCCTAATGCACTGAATGGATCATGAGACACTCAGGCTTGAGTATCACTCAGCTGTAGAATGCCGACAGGCTTCTCAGTGAGGTAGCTTCACAGAGTTCACAACATTTGATGCTTGCCAATGGATTCCAGTGGTTTTTTAATGGCTTTCCAATAGTCTCATGTTGTTTTCTCTTTTTTGGTAACTGTCCTGATATGTGTGTATGCATATGTATGTGTGTATGTATGTTTTACTTCTGGTTGTGCCTAAACTTGGCCAATTGCCAAAATAATTGGGAATTTTAAAAAGTACTGATCCCCAGGCCCTACTCCAGACCTACTGGATCTGAACTTATGGGACCAGAGACCCACAAAGAGGCTATTAAAAAATATATATATCTACATGTGTAAGCTCTGAAGACTACTCGTGCGGGTCAGCAGGGTTTTAAAGACACTGGCCTAATCTGTTGCTTCGTGACCTCAAACCATACTGTGTTGACATAGTTCATAGTTTTCCACTGCGGCAAATCCAGAATCAATTCCTTCTTCCCTTCATTTATTCACCAGTGATAAGGTGTAGACAGAAACCACTACGGTCAGCGCCTTTAACTTCCTTTGGAGGGAAGCGTAGTGCTGAGGCGCCTGGGTGGCTCAGTCGGTTAAGTGGTTAGGCTCTTACCACTCTTGAATTCAGCTCAGGTCACGATCTCACAGTTTGTGTCATGCTGCATTCTTCTAAGTCACTTTTGCACAAGCAGGTTGAAGTACA